CTGTGTGTTGAGATTTAAATAAATGGTTTCGAACGTACGCGCATAATACGGAAAAATCATGTGGGCCTTAAGTTTTTCTTTTTATTGAATATATTTTCTTTTAATATATATTAATTATATAGATCACAATCGTTTTATTTTACTTTTTGTTTTATTTTAATTCTTAAATTCTTTTTATCATAATCGAGTTTCTTTATTTAAAATCGAAGACTAATTACGCATGCTACGCGGTATTAAATTTCTAAAAAGCTTTTAAATAAAAAGCTTTCAAAATTTCATAAGATTAAAATGTAAATTTTATAAGATTTTATTATAATATTTTATTAATGTTGAATGGCTCTCGCGATCAACACAATTGTATGACTGTTGTGCGCTCATCGAATAAAGAAAATCTACTGGCATAATTAGTCGGTAATTGAAGGAGTATCTCCTTCCTTATCTCTGGCTGTATGTGGCCAGAAGTTCTGGCTATGTGGCCAAGTCGACGATGGAGCAACGTGGCCAGGAGCAACGAAAGGTAGGTCCAATCTGGCCTGAAGAATCACACGATTAATTTATATATATAAAATAAATAAGTACTTAATAAGATTTTTATATGTGCGATTGCATGTAATTGTAGAGTGCTTTCTGTGTCTGCACTATAAATAGTACTGTACTATCTATAGATAGTACTGTAATACTATCTATAGATAATACTATAGTACTATCTATAGATAACTCTATTTAAATTCGGGTGAGTAAGAATTCGGGTGGGAAAGAATTAAAACAAATAAGAAAATATTATAATTTAAAAATTAATAATTCTATGATGAATTTATTTAATTTTATTTAAATAAATTTATCACAGAATTATATTTATTATTATATTTTTTTATATATTATATTTAAATGTAATTATATAAAATTAATACGTTAATTAAACGTTAATTAAAACTACGGGTAGGTAGGGATATAAAATCTTCAATCGGATAGGTAGGAATATTAAAAAATTCGGTAGGGTAATAGTTTAAGAATTTATTTTATTTAATAATTTAAAAATTTGTAAATTTGTTTAAATTATTAATTATAAAAAGAACAAAATATAATAAATGACATTTGGTATTTTAAGCGCTTAATAATTTTCTTTTCTGAATTTAACTTCGTGACATGTATATGTATAAATCTGTCTATTATATTCTGTTCTTTAAATATATTCTCGGTTTATTGTATTGATTTTTTTAATTGTAAATAATAATGCATTAAAAATGTATAATTTTGTGTTATATTGTTTGTCAGCAAAATTGTTAATTGTATATAATTAATAAATATTAAAACAAATTAAAACGTTCAAAAAAAGAGGACTGCCAATCAAAATTGATGGGAGTGGTGGAGGGCTTTCACAAATTTAGATTTTATTCGATAAATATTTCGACTGAACAATAACAATTTTGTTACCGAACAATACAAATTATATTATTGTATTATATTATAATTTATTATGTTTTATTATGATGTATTATATTATTAAATTGTGTTAAATGTTTTTTTCTTTTGTATTAAACTTTTATATTTTTATTGAATATTGAATTATATTTTATATTGTATAAAAAATAATGAATATAAAAAATTAAAAATTTGCACATAAAGAAAAGAGGACCGCCAAGAAGTGAAATTGGTGGGGGTGGTGGAGGGCCTCTACAAATTGATTAGTTTCTAAAAATGCAAGAGAAATTGTATATTTTGCTATAACTAATGAGATTTGTCCGCTTTTAGGCTTCTCTCTTGTATAAAGCCAGTGTCACACGATGCTTTTTTTCCTGCTGATTTGCTAGCTGGATTTGCGTGCTCGTTGAGCTTTTGTCTCTGATTGATATATTCTTTTGGATCTAAAAAAATATACCAATCGAAGACAAGAATTCAACAAGCACGCAAATCCAGCTAGCAAACTAGCAAGATAAAAAGCATCGTGTGCCGCTGGCTTAAGTTAACAAATTAGCCTGGATCCTTATGCAGACGCTGACGCCTTGGCGTCGAGCGCTGATTGGTTAAAAGCGGATAATGGGATAAATAGTAAAGATTCATTTACGGTTTTATTCCCACTATTCATTTTTCACCAATCAGCATCTGTGTCAAATTGTCTGCATGAGGATTCAGGTTTACGATCTCCATAAACCAGCCTTAATGCAACCAATATCGGAGCTTAATCTATTGGTATTTTCAGCATCTTTAATTTTAACAAAAGCTTGATTGTCGACAAATATTTAAAATTCCATTTGTTATATTTTATAAGAAAACATGAGTAATTCTGTTTTTATTCTTGATAATGGTGCTTACACAGCAAAAGTTGGTGTAGCCAGTGAGACACCTAAGTAAATATGTTAAAACTAAGTAAATTTAAATAATGTGGTGTATTAATCCGTGGAAATATTTTAGGTTAATTCCGAATTGTATAATGAAAGCAAAGAGTGAACGTCGTAGGCCTTTTATAGGGAATCAAATCGAAGAATGCAGAGATGCTTCTGGACTGTTTTATATATTACCCTTTCAAAAAGGTTATTTAGTGAATTGGGATATTCAAAAAACTGTATGGGATTATATATTTTCAAAAGAATCTTGTTCGGTTAATTTAAGTCAACTATCTGCAATAGTAACTGAACCAATATTTAATTTTCCAAGTATTCAAGAAGCTATGACAGAAATCTTCTTTGAAGAATACGAGTGTCACAGTCTTCTGAGGATAAATGCAGCGAGTCTCTCATGTTATAATTATAAAGCAGAATATCCTACTACAAAATGCTGTATAATAGTTGATAGTGGCTATAGTTTTACACATGTGATCCCATATATTAATGATACAAAAGTAAAGGATGGAATACGAAGAATAGATGTAGGTGGCAAACTTTTAACAAATCATTTGAAAGAGATAATATCTTATCGTCAGCTGCATGTTATGGATGAAACATATGTAATTAATCAAGTGAAAGAAGATTGTTGTTTTATATCCCAAGATTTTTTTAAAGACATGGAACAAGCCAAACATAAATTAGAGAATAATTCCATTGTTAAAGATTATGTTTTGCCAGATTATACAACTCTACGTCGTGGATATCTTAAAGATCCAGGACCGTCTAATGAGCAACAAACATTACGTTTGAGTAATGAGAGATTTGCAATACCAGAAATATTATTTCATCCATCGGATGTTGGTATCCGACAAATGGGTATTCCTGAAGCTATTATGGATTCGATAAAGTCTTGTAATGAAGAAACATGGCCCCATTTATTATCCAATATTGTTTTAACTGGTGGCAATGCAAATTTCTCAGGATTTAGAGATAGAATTTATAAAGAAGTTAGGAGTTTAGCTCCAGCAGAATATTCTGTGAATGTCTATTTACCACAAAAGTA